CCTCGACTTCGCCGAGCACCGCAGCCAGGCGGCCAAGATCAAGGTCAACCCCCGCGGCAACCTCTGGGCCACAGGTACCGCTGGCGAGGGACACGGACGCGCGGGGCACGGAGCCCTCCCGGCAACCCTATGCCGCTGCCTGCAGGGAGACCCCTGCTCCCCTCGGGACCCCGCAGGGCGGAGGGGGATGCTGATAGGCGTGGGGTAAGCGGGAGAAGACCTGGGCAGGGAAAGGGCAACCTCCTTGCATGTCTCTTGGTGACACGTCCGGCACTGCTGCAATCCCAGAGATCCCAGGAGGGAGCACAGCACAGGAGGGGGAAGTTTCCCCGAAGTCCCACGTGGAACGAGGACCTGGGATTTCGGGGGTTCTCCTTACTTTGATGTACTCGGCTGACTCATTAGGTTTGCTCTGTGCTTGTTGCCTTATGTCAGTATGAGGTAGTGGATAACAGCTGCTCCACAGCCTCTGCCCCCTGTGCTTGTGCAGACACCCAAATGCATTTGTTGCAGGTCACTTCATGGGGAAGAAGAGTGTCACGGGCTCCCCGCACCTGGAACCGCCAGAGGAGCCTGCAGTGCCCATGGTGTTTGGTCCCTCTCTCAGAGCTTTGCTGGAGGACATGATGGAACTGCTTACCCGTGAGCTCCTGAAAATCCTCTTGCAAGAGAGACTTTTGTATGAGAATCAAGGAAAATACGACCTCACTGACCAGGTGAATACTAAGACAGATGGGAATGTACAGAACAGGGAGGTGGTGGTGATCTCTAATCTGCAACAGCCAGCTTTGCTGGAGATGGGAGCATCTGAGCTGCTAGAGGTGTATGCCCCCCATTCTACTCCTGTTAACCCTCCTTAAACCACTTCTTAACACCAGTCATAAACGGACAGAGAGGTCTTCCTAGGCATGTGCCTAGCTGGGCAGTGGCTAGTAGTCCCGAATGCTTGGGTAGAGTGTGAGGATGAGCAAGAGATCCTGCGATGGAACTGTAGCAGTGGTGATCTCTAGACCAGGGTTTGCTAATAAACTTCTAGGTCTTCCTTGGCCAGATGCAGACGAGAATGGCTGGCCGCTGTGGCTATGAAGAAAGGTCCCCTTTTCCAGTCGCTGTAGGGACTGGGAAATTCTTCTCCTCTATTTCTTTGGAGAGAGGCCAAGAGGGACACAGCTCCATATGTAAAGGGAAAGGAGTCCATCCTGCGAAGAGGTCTTGGGTTTCTTATACCCCCACTTTGGGTATGTGTTGCTGTGGTCAGGATCCCTCATTACTGAGCAGCACATAGCTCTGTGTGCTTGCCTGGTAGAGGGGGAGGTGTGTTAGTCATGCTGCTGCAGAATGGGTCTCGGGGAGCAGGCAAGAGCTCCAGTAGTCCTGCTGTGCACAAGCAGATTGTCAGTCTTGGTGTGGCTTTTGCCTAATAGCTCACACAACTCCTAACAGAAAACCTGCCCCTGGGAGCAATGCACACACACAGACCCTTAGTCTGGGTGGTGCTGCTGTCAGTCACCTCGTGCATGCTTCCCTGGTGTCTCACCCTTTCTAGTCACTGCAGGAAGTAACTGAGTGCCTAAAAGGGATGAAATTCTCTTAAGTGGGTCCTATATATGCTGTCCCACTGAGCTTCTGTACTCGAGGAGCTATTCAGTAACACTGCACACAGGTAAAACTATTTCTGTTATCCAGGTGTAGGCAGTGCTGGCTCCTCTTTGCTTTTTTGGGAAGGCACAGCTGAAGCACAGTTGCAGGGTTGTAAGCCTGAGTGGCACTGATTGTTCACGTGCCTCCTTGACTCGGTTTCAGTAGACTAAGGCAAACCAAGGCTTTCCAAGAGGGCTTTCTCCCATCAGGATATTGCTGAGCATGAGCTGAAGACACCCTTAAGATGCTGTGTGCTGTGACTGCTGCACTGCTGTGGCTTTTGCTGCTTGGATGCAGCTGAAAGGGGAGAGAGGGCTGTGGAGGTCCTGGACCTTTCTCATTCCTCCCTGGGGAGCCTTTGAGGAGAAGGGTGTTTGCTGCATTACCTGCCCAAGGTGATGGAAGAGCTGGTGGATATGCCACTCTGCCTTGTCCACTAAGATGTTTGTGAGCATGTGGTGTGGATTTGATAGGTGGTCCCTGTCGCTCTCTTCTGTGTATGTAAGTTGTATCGTCACGGCTCACAGTGCAGACGTGTTTGGGTGGAGCCTGCCTCCAGCACTGGTGGTGTGCCTTAAGGCTGCCAGCTGGGTGCTGGTGCCCTCCAGCACTCACTGCTAGGACTCAAAGGCAGGTCCTGGCCAGGGGTAGCACCCAGCACTGGACATCAGCCCTTGGCGTGTGTGTGCTGGGTGTCAAAGCTCATCACTTTGAAATCAGTGATTTAATCACTGTCCCAGTGCCTCCGTGGTGGGAGATGGGATGCCCTGAACACATGGCATCACAGCTTAAGTGCCTGATGTGCAGCTGGCTCATACCCCTCACCTTTTCCCAGCCTCCTGTTCTCCTTAGCCAGTGCCCTGGTGTGCTCATCCTCTTGGTGGCTATGGAGACCTTATTGGGTGATAGGTCTGGTTCTGCCCTTGTCCTGAGCACTTCATGAAACTCACCTCCTGCCTTCCTGCTCCTTTCTTCACCACCCATTCCTCAGAGCATCCTTGCTTCTGAGCTGCTGGTTGTTATTACAGGACTGCTTCTTCTGGTGCTTTGAGTGCTGTCTGTGTTCTACTTTCTGTGGGACCTTATTTTTCTTGCTTCTGGGGGTGACACAGTGCTAATGCAAACTCCTGCCACCCTGGAAACTTTTCCCCTCAGTGTGACTTGTTGGAGCCTGTGCTTGAACTGGTCTATGTGCTGTGTTCGCCACCTGACTGATAAGCTGTTCAATAGCTCTGCTCTGTGAAACTCTCTGCCCCCAGCTCAGGATCTGTCACTTGCATCTCAACTCAATTTAGAAAAACAAAGATGCTTCTCCCTTCCTTGGGCTCCCCTGGTCAGCAAGGCAGTAATGAATGTGCTTTCCAAGTGCTGCTCTGCTGCTGCAGCACACAGGATCAGAGGAACTTTGATTGACTTTTGTTGAAAAACCCAGTGGGCTTTTCCTTTTCTGAGGGTGTCACTGATCATTCACAAGTGGGTTCTTGCATTCTGTGGGGCGCTTCTAGGCATGAAATAAACCCCAGAGCTTAGTCTTTTTGCCTGCCCTTCCTTCACATGGATTAGTCCTGCTTGCTGCCCTTTGTTTTTTTTCTCAGGATGTTTCCCATCCCTTTGCAAGACAGGAGCCCACGCAGTGGTCCATGCTTGTGATGGCAGAAGTTACACAGTGCAGAAGGGCTTTGCAAACTGGGGTTTCTGTTTTGTCCATTTAACCACATGTGGCAGGCAGGGCTCAGCTCTCAATGTGCTGGGGCTTCATGGTGTTCATCTTGTTGCTATGTGTGACCAGGATTTGGCTGGCAGAGGAGGATTGTCACCATGCCTTGTCACCTTCTTGGGTGTATGACAGTATTTCTGCAGGAGACAGGGCGAGACCATGTGTGGAGTGGAATAGCTCCAGGGGTGTGGCGAGAGCCCCTCTGCATGAGGGTAGATGCTGCGCTGTGCAGCTCTGGGACCTCTGGGCAGTACTCAAATCCCAGAAAATCCCCCTGTAACAATTCCTTGCTGTGGTTTGTGTCTCTTTGCCTTCTCTGCTGAATCGGGCCTTGAGGCTGTTCTTTTTTCTGAAGCACAGCCTCAGCAGGTTGGTGAAGTTTGTTTCTGATGTCCGTCAGCTGTGGTGCAGCTGGTGGAGCACAGGATGGGAGGCAGGAACCAGGCTTCTGTCTCCTATCTTTTCCTTCTCATGTGCTGTCCCCAGCCATCCCTGAAAGTGGTCCAGTATGGGACACTTTTCTGGTCTTCTGCCCCGTGGTACCCACAGATGATATTGGTGGAAGCAGTGTATGAGTGTTTTCACCCGTGTGCCTTTTCTTGTAGGAGACAGGGCTTTTAACAAAGGTGCTGGAGAAGTATTTTTCAAGCTGAGGAAATACAGCCGTGGAGGATGAGGTCTGCAGCTTGGCCATGCATGGCACACAGAGGAGAGCATCGTGCTTGTGGGTAGCAACATCACTTTTTATTTATTCTTGCTGTAATACTGTTTCTAGTGAGTGCTTGTGTGAAAGCAGAGCCTCCCTGTATATTGCCTGTGTGTTTTCTGTATTCCTCATGTCTGATGCACCCCTGGGAATAAAACTGGCTCTTTGCACAGACCAGATCCGACCTTTCTGTGGGTGTGGGGAGGGTTGTGCAGGGAGCATGGGGAGAGGGAGTAGCTCAGTGGGTGATGGAGGGAAGCTCCTGGCCCTCAGCAGCCAGGAGAGGGGTGGATTCAGTCCCTGCAGCCTCTGCTCACTGAAGGAGACCTGAACTGCTCCATGACAAAATTACAAGCTTGGTTGAGCTTATTCCACCACTCACTCCTGGAGCATCTTTATAACCCTCTTTGCTGGAAAGGTTAGCAGCGTTACAAAAAGTATCTTGGTCATGACATTGCTGGGATTTCTGATTCAAGCAGTGTCCCTGTCTTGTGGGACCCAAGGCTCGTTGGCCTTGGCTTACTTCTTGAACCTTCGGCTGTCCCTCGTGTGCTGATCACTAAACACTCGCCCTGTTTATGTGCCTGGTTTGGGATGGCTGCTTGGTGTACCTTCACCCTGTGCATGTAGTCAAGCACTCACAGGGGCAGAGGTTGAGTTTGGTGGGTAAAACCCGAATGTCTTACAACTCGATTACTCCAAACATTGCCTTCAAGACCTGGTGCTCCCTATTAAATGCCCCAGTGCTATGGCCCTTCATCCTTCAAGAGAGCAGGACCAAGCTAGGAGGGAGTTTTCTAGGAAGCATGTAATGATGGTTCAGATCATGCCAAGCATGATCTCTGCCTCACTGGAGCAGTTGCACAGCGGCAGCCCTGGGGGAGAGCATCACCTTGCTGCCTCTTGGAGCCCTCCCAGGTTCTCCAACCTGCTGCTGAACAACCACCTCCTAGCACCACAGCAGCCTCTGTTCCCTTTTTGTGTCCTTCATGGTCTCCAACCCACCAGCTTCACTACGAGAGGTGTCTCACTGTCCTTCTGCAGTCACTTCAGCCCAGGACTGCAGAACCCATCCTCCAACCTATGTTGTTTTGCCTGGGCTTGCTGTTGTGTGCTGGGATATGGGTGACCCCCAGCTAGCCTTTCATTAGCTGTAGCAAAGCCTTGGCTTAAAACTAATTATAAGCAAGAAAAATAATGACATAAAGTATTGTGCTTGACACTGGAGCAGACCAGATGCCCCTCAGCCAGCA